TTTTGTAATTACTTGTTACATAAAATTCCTTGCACCATAATATGTTAAAAAATAAATGCTAAACTTTCTTTATAATACAAAAAACAAGTATCTAAATATAAAGATATAAAAAACTGAATTAAAAGCAAAAGATTTTTTCCCTGAAAGTTTGGGCCAAAAACGTGGGTGTGCATTATACATGGCAAAATACAGTAACAATTCCCACCAACACAAGTTAATAAAGGAGTTAAAAGTAGAAAAAGAAAAGCACATCTGATCAGGAGTGAGGATACATGGGTGGTGGTCCTAATTCAGCCTCCTAAACCAAATGTTTGACCCATGCTTTCCCTGAATTACCTTTATTATCTGCACCTGTGTTCTTGGGGCGGCAGAGAGAGACAGAGAGAGAGAGAGACAAAGAGAGCAAGACCTAGAGAGCTCCATCCAAATCTTTTGGTTAGTCCTGCTCTTTACTGGATAGTGACTCTTTGAAGGGTCATGAGCCCTATGTCTGCCAAGACCAGGACACAGCTATAAACTCTAGGTTAAGGTTTCCCCAAATCCCAGCACAGTTCCTAGTCAGAAGCAGGATCATGCTAGGTGGCACATGACTTTCGTGCAAAAGTTCCAACAGATGCTGCTTGGTGCAGAGCTGCATTATTTATACAGGAATCTAAGCTGTTTTGCCAATGAAAATAATTACCTTTCTCCTTAGCATAAAATAAGCCTTCCCTCTTCATTGCAGCCTTAATTTTGAAGGGAAAGGAAGTTAATTTTAATTAACAAAACTTAATGCTATTAATTAAATATGTGTTCTATTTTCACATGCACACACAAATTTGCTTAAAGACATAACTCATTCTGCTGAGGGTATCATAGCAGCTTTGTTTTGCTATGTAGAGAGCACAAATGATTACAGGAATTAAACCAAACTTGGTCAAGATACTTAGCTCATGTTCTTAAGTACATCTAATTCCTCTTTAAGTATTACACAATACAGGAAAAAATGACTTTATTTTGCCAATAACATTTAGCTTAACTTTTCTTTCCATTTCTTTATCACCAATAAAAATCACAGAATAAATTTAAAAATAATTTTTAAATAATTTATTTAAAGTTTATTCTTATAGAGTATCTAACTTTAATCTCCCAGCAACTCTGAAGGAAAAGTGATATTTTTCAGCAGAGCTTTGAAGGGATTTGGACTTATATGTATAGCTCTTTTTCTTTTAGCTTTTAATTTTTAATAATGGTCTGGATTGGTTTAAACACACTGACAATAATAGCTAAAGCTCTAGCTTAACATCATACTCTAGAAAAAGGTACCACGAGTACTGTCAGAGATAACTCAGAAAATAAAAGGATTTCAGAGCTGTAGGATACTATAAATACATCTGGATGAATGGTGGAGCACTCATTTGAATCATGGAGCCCACAGATCAAGAGGAAGAAGGGCATTCTACCTTTCTTGCTCAGGTTGGGGAGACCATAAGGAGTATTCAGGCCATAAAACAATGTATCAGTAGCCCACTAAGTGTATTGTATTAATGTAGATGAAGAATTTCTTATGTTCATATATACATTTATGTGTATTTTTCTTTTACTCTCTCACCCTAAACAATTACTAACCTACTTTCTGTCTCTACAGAGTCCCCCATTCTAGACTTTCATGTGAATGGAATCATGTAACATGTACACTTTTATGGCTGGCCTCTTTCACTTAACATAATGTTTTCAAAGTTCATCTAAGTAACAACATGTATCAGTATTTCATTCTTTTTCATGGCTCAATAATACTTTATTATATAGACACACTGTATTTTGTTTATGTAGTCATCCACTGATGGACAGTTGGATTATTTCCAGCCTTTGACTGTTCTGAATAATGCTGCTACAGATATCCACGTGCAAGTTTTTGTGCAGACATAGATCTTCATTTCTCTTGGGCGCATATCTAGGAGTGAAATTGCTGGGTCATATGATAACTCTATGTTTAATTATTGAGGAACTTCTAGACCATTTTCTAAAGTGGCTGCATCTTCTACATTCCCATCAGCAATGTATGAAGGTCTCTATTTCTCCACATCCTCCCCTGCATTTACCTTGAAGCAATATTACTTTGCTCAGAATGGTGGCATGGAAGAAGAGGGCAATACTGTGGTGACTTAGTGGAGGCTGTACAAACTCTGGACTGCCTACTTTCTGAATTCTTTAATGTGCAATAAAATAAACCTTGATTTCATTTCATCCACTGCTCTTCTGGGTTCCTGGTAATGGCAGCCTAATCCAATTCCTAATTTATGAGGTCCTACTAGCACATCTTGAACCTTGGATGCCATAAAAATAAATGTCATTGAATTGAATATGTAAGGATTTTTTTCTTTGAAGTTTTTTTAATCATCCTGTTCCACTCCGAAAACTGCGCATTATTTCCTTCTTAATTTCAGATTCCTTCATTCAATAGCTATTTTCTTCTTAGACCCATTGTTTCATTTCTCACTAGTACCTTGTGGGTGCTCTGCAAGAATGAAACAACCTGACACCCAGAAACAAATGGAAGTGTTAAAGGTGGAGCAACTTTTGAAGTGGGAAGATAAGCACTCATTGTAGCTTATGTAGACTGAGCACAAATGTATTATTTTCTCCCTCAAATATGACCCTAAATTTTAGGACAGCATTAATAATGATGAAGGGTCATTTAATGCTTTATCTTACACTCTCTGGGAGCCTTAGGAATTTCAGCACCATGTTGACCAAATAGTGCTTGTATCCTATATCTGTTCACTTTCAGACACATTTTTGGAGCCTCCATGGCAGGTTGTTACACTCATAGCCCAGGTTTTCACCTTGACCTTTGGAAAAGTAAAAGAAAACCTGAGTCATTAGTTATATAAATCAGCTTTTTTGCCCATTTCCCCTAATGCTTATATTCCACTTATCTGTATTTTGTAAACAAACACACAACCTGCCATTCTACTGGCTCTTGTAACAAGTATAAATATCTACCACAAAGCCTGTCTTTGATAAACAGGTTTCTAAGTAATCAGGTTTACTTTTTCCTGTAACTAGTAAATCACCACTGGTGGAGAGGAGAACATTATAGAATCAGGAAATTTTGTGATCTATTTCTCTCTCAATGTTTTAATTAACTGATTGACACATTCAGCCAACATTTGTTGAAGACCTACTATGTTAGAAGTAGCACTGCATTCTGTTCTAAAAAATCTTATTTTTTGCAAACTCATGTTTTATGCATGTTAATGGCTCTTGGAATCGAATATTTAAAAACAAATATCTTAATCATCTTTCTTTTGCAAGGAAGGCTTCCCCCTTCCTCCTCATTTTAAGAGTTTTGCTCCTCCCCTCTCCCCACACACTTTTTCCTTTTTACAAACAGGAAAATCCTTTAGCTTGTGTTGTTAACAGGTCAGTTTGAACGCTCCTTATAAAACCCAAATATAGGAGCAATGTTTTTCTCTTCCAGAATTCTTCCTGAATCTCAGATTTTCAATAGTTTGCTACTGTGTATACCATTTCATTATTTGTTTATTTACAAACTTTATTAAGGACTTTGCTCAGCTCCATATTTTGTGTCATTTGGAGACAGGCTCAAATCTATCAATGACAGACAGAATCCCCAAAGAATATATCCAAAGAAAAATGTTGGCTTTAAAGGTAATATACATTTCTGGAGCTGTACTGTCATTACCTATCTAGTAAAATGACATCTTCTCCTTTACATTTCCGCTATTCATTTGGCCAGCCACTGTTCTACCTTGAGATTGAGCTAAATCACCTGGTTCAGACAATCCTGGATTCAAATTTCTCCTCAATATCCTATTAGCTGAATGCCTTTCTGGCACTCTAGGCAGTGTTTTTATTCATCAAACAGGAGTATTAATTTTACCTACACTGTTGGGTTGCTGTAAGGATTACATGTAAAGTATGCAGCATATATGCCTGGCTCATAATGGGCAGCCCATTCAGTTAGTGGTGGGTTTCAGGTTTGTTTGCATCTTTATTGGATAACCATCTTTCATTCCACCCTGTGAAATTGTTTCAACCAGTGACTATTCAATAAACTTGTTAACAAGTATACAACATAACCAGGGTTTGAGTCATAGCACATTGGGATTGCTTTTCAGCATAGATAATTTTGGCAAGTACCTATTCCAGCACTTTTTCTTCACGTGATCACTACAGGGTACCCTAAAAACATGGTTTGGTTCTTTGCCGATGACAAAGGATAAGAGAAGATGAAATTACTATGTGTCAATAACTCAAGTATAAAAGCTATGTGACTATATGGGAATGAAAAAATTATATACATAGTTTCCCACGCCCCCTCCCCCCAACACACACAGCCTTTTTCCTTAAAGCTCAAACTTGATTCACAGGTACAGGCCTCTGTAACTTTTCTTGGCATTGAAGTCATGAAATCTCCTGTCCACTAAAGCCACAAAAACCTATAGTAGAAGCAGGTAGCATACCCTACTTAGGACACATATCTTTTACGGTAGAAGGTAGCATACCCTTCGCTAGGCTCTCACCTGTCGGCCAGGTCATTGTGACGCAAATACTATGGACCAGTGAAGAACTGCCAAAGAGCAGGGGCGGGGTCACCTGGGCGGTAGAACCGAGCAAGGGATTCCCCCAGGAGGTCGGGGGTGGGGGTGGGGGAGGTGGAGGAAAGACCCCTGGGAAAAGAAAGAGGGAGACTCACTTGCCCCATCCCGGACCCGCCCCAAACAAGGTGAGGCCATAGCCCCCTCCCTCATTCCGAACCCGAGGTTCTGCTGAGGGCGTTCTCCCAACCGAGGTCTCGAAAGGAGAGAGGTAGGGAGAGAGGGCGGTGGCGCTGCCGGGGCTGCCGGCCCCGCTCCCCCCGGCCGCTGCGCTGCGCTGCGCTGCGGCGCGCTTGGGATCCGCTGGTTGCTATTCCGGCTGGCGGCCGCCGCCGCAGGAAGGACCGGTTCCTGCGCTCCCCCCGCCCCCTTCCCTTGCCTTCTGCTGACGCTGACGTCGGATGAGGGAGCTGGAGGGACGCTCGGACAGCTGCCGGGAGGCTCCTGGGGGCCGGGGCTCCGAGGTACCTGTCCTCCGGGGCCCGGGTGGGGATGCACCGGGCGGGCTGCAGGCTGTAGCGGGAGTCGCCCTGCAGCCGGGGCGATCGGGGGCGCCAACCTGGGACTGCCAACTCTGCCCTCCGCGGGCGGCGAGTGACAGGCAGGTCGCCTCCTCCTGCCACTGATCCCCGTGCGGGAACCTCTGAAGCCCCTTCCCCTCCCCCGCCTGCTCCTTAGGGCCTGGGAAGGTCTGGCGGCTGCGTGCGCCCGGAGAGCGTGCGTCAGCCCCCAGGGAGCGGGAGGAAAGCGTTCCGGGCTCCGGCCCCATCTCTCGCCTCAGCGCCGGCAGCGCCCTGACCCACGCCAGCCCACATCACCCACTCGTGCCTAGCCTCCCAGCGGCTCCGGCCCCGGGACCTCAAGGTCCTTGCGTCCGGGGCTGACTTGTTGACAAGTTCACCGGCCGCGGCGCGTGGTGTCTGCCTTTTCTCTTCACCCCATTGCCCATCCTTGGCGGAGGTGGCGTGGAGCAGATGGGTACCTCTTTATAACCACTAGTGCCGGGGGGCCTGAGCTTGGTCCCCTGCGAGGGAGGTGATCACCCGGCTCGGACCTGATTCGAGCAAGAGACCCTAAGCAGGCCAGATCCCTGCAAACCCTGGCGCGCCCGTTTCCTCTGGGTGTTGCTGACGCCTCCTTTCCTGACCCGGGGCTATTGCAGCTCCTGCTTCCTTTAGAAAAGAACATATCCTGTTATTATGCCTGCTGTTACCCAGAACGACTCTCCATTAATCTTTCACACTGTCTTCTTACCTGGAGTGCACTCTAGGCCCCTCAGCTTTTCTTTGCGGGGGGAGGGGGAGAGGGGAGGACAGGGAAGGGAGGGTCTTGAAAGTACTGCGCCTTTCACCAGCGTTAACTGCCTGGTGGGAGAAGAGTCCTAGTTTAGAAAGAGAATCAGGTTTCCCTGTGTTTAGATAGCATGCAAAAATCAGCATTAGAAAGGGTGCTGGGTGGCAGCCTTAGAAACTGTGATCTGGTAACTTTATAAAAATGATCAGGGCCTGGAAAATATAGCACCAGCTGGTTTGAGAATGATATTGAATGTAGGAAGTAAGGTAGGTAGGCATTAGCCATTACGGCTCTGTAAATTATGACTCACTGCAAACATGTTCGTGTCCAAACATCTCAGTGAAGTGTGCTCAGAGAAATCTCAAATTGGTTCCTGTCGACATTTAGTTTAGATTTTCTGAGATCTAAACTGTTCCTAGGGGTTGGGAAGTGAAATGGGGAATGGCTAATGGCTTGAAATTAATGCTCCAGAGTTAGTTTCTTACTTTCTTACCTTCTATTTAAAATACTCACACATTCTAAAAATACTTTTAAGTGGTTTTCAAACCAGTTTCTCTTTAGGTTTTAATTTTTATATTTGAAACATCGTGTGTAGAATAAACCGTAGGGGCAAAATCCATTTATAATCCGTAATAGTTTTATTGTCACTGGTTTTAGACCACCATATATATACCTGTATATTTAATTGCAGGAGATGTGGCTTTATAAATGGATCTTTTTTTTTTTTTTTGGTATTATATAGGTAAATAGTTGTACTATGTGTATTGAAGATAAAAGATCTTTAGAAAATGACAGTTAAGCTATTGAGTACAAATTATAATAATGAAAAAAACCTTATGCTAAAAAGACTAACTGTGGATACGCCACCCATGGGTCATTAAATGCTAAAGACACTGGATGGAAATGCCTGGACAGTTTATTTTACAGCTGTCTTTTCCCCAGTTGGTGCACTTGAGTATCTAGCTGACTGCTTCCTCTGAGCATTTCTTTCTCCACATCAGCTGTGTGAAAAATACAGAAAATTTTGTTACCCCAAAGAAAACCTTAAATATTGCTGCATTTTCAAAACATTTGACTAAACAGTACATTTGTTCAGGTGCAGGCCATTTTATCAGAGACAGGGAGGCGTGGCCACCATGAAAATGAATGACATGGAAGTGAAAACCTGTGTTGGAATGAACTCTAAAGTTATGGAAACCTAAGGTTACAGAAAAGGAGAAGGAAGGGAAGTTAATAAGCCACATGGATCAGGAAGAATTTTTCCTCTTTACTGGCTGAGCTTCAGAGCTAGAAGGCTGGGTGGCAACATTTAGGCTCAGTGCCCTGGTCACTTGTGTAACTTTTACTCCATCTGCATTATCAGATTTATAGGGACCATGGATAGTTTTCTATCTGCATATTTTCATTCATTAGGTAACATAGGTCACTAATTAATTAACCTTATTCCCAGCCTCATCCCTGTCTAGAATCTGCCTCAACAGAGCTTTATGCTCAAAGACTGATAGAGGATAAACCTTTTTTCCCCAATCACCGCCCCCCAACACACACAATCATATTTATCATAATGGGAGGGTGTACAGAGCGCACACAGGCCGCGGATCCCGATGGAGCAGGATTGGAACCCCAGCTGCAACAGCTAACTAGTTGCATGACCTTAAGCAAGTTACTTACATCTCTACACCATCATTTCCATACTTACAGAGCAAGAATACACACCTTCTAGAGTTCTGGTGGGGAGTAGAGATAATATATGTTGACCTTTAACAAATAGCCAGCTATTGCTCTGGAAAAATATGTTTATTCATGGACAACAAAGAATTGCAATTCAGGACATGTGGTCTAATGCAAACCACTTGTAAGTCCAGAGAAACAAAGGAGAGGAATGCTCTTTTATAGGCTCGGAGGAAACTGAATGTTGGAAATGTAGTGACTTTTCATTGGCTGAGTTTTGGAAGTCTCCCATTGTCTGAGCTCTTACTGGGCAAGGAAGAGTCTTTTTCTTCTTCTGCTGAGGTAGTAAAGTAGTATCACTTCCCATCAGATGCAAGGCAGTTATCCTTCCATTGGGGAGAGTGGTGTTTTTGAATGACATCTGCGAGAGTTTTCTAAATGAAGTTTCTGTTTATTTTTACATACACAGAAAATGCTTTACATAGTAACCAGGACTCAAGTAGTAGCAGTAAATTATTCTTTCACATGCTAAACATATGTGCTATTTGTATCTGAAAAAAATGCTACTCCTTTTCCCTTGGTGAGAGGGCAGGTGTTCCAATATGGTCTTCAGTAGTTCCAGTGATTTTGTACCAATACTGAGAATTAGGGCTTTCTGGAATACTTCTGAGGTTGGGGAATGCAATCTGTGGTCCAGAAACAAAGCAAAGCTTATTTGTTCCAGTGGGGACAGAGCGTCCAACTCCCTGCCACTCAGGTGGGATCTATAGACCAGCAACAGTGACTTGCCCTTGGAGCTTGTTAGGCAGGCAGAATCTCAGCCCACCCCCCAGGCTCACTGAATTTGAAAGTGCACGTTAACAAGGTCCCACAGTGAGTCACGTGCACATTAAAGTTTGAGGAGCATTGTTCTAACCTGGCATGTATCAAACTTTTCTGCCCAATAGCATCATTTGGGGGGCTTGTTAAATGTGGATTCCCAGCCTGGCTTCTCTCATCTGCTGTTAACACCTCAAGTGGCTCTGGCATCCAGGGTCCTTCCGTGTCCTTCGAGAAACGCTGCACCAAGCTCTTTATCCAACATAGTGCTCTAAAATGGGCCAGTGCCCTCTTTCCTTGACAAAGGCGCATATTCAGCCCCTTTTGGGGTAAGTAGGTATTGTAATCACTATCTGATAAAAAAAAAATTAAGACCACCTGCATGATATCTTGGATGATGTGTGTGGTAGAAGTTCCTTGAACTTCTGTAAATTCTAGTTGACCACGCTTTCATTACTTCATCATCCAAATATATGCACTCTGAGTGTGTGTGTGTGTGTGTGTGGGTGTGTGTATTAGTAATTTTAAATAGTAATGAATCTCTCCCGGACAAGGATGGCTGTACATAATAGGGCATTTAATACATGCTTTTAACCTTCCTTCTATGTGGCTGTGGACCAGGTCCTTAGGATAACTGATTTTGAGCTTCACCCATAAAATGAGGATGATGTCTACTTGGCTGTGTTGTCAGGATAAGCATAAGGTGCACAAAGCATACTTCTCAGTGGCTGAAAGTGGTAGTTCCTCAACTAATGCTAACTACTTGTCCCAATATAAACCTAGTGAGAGAGAATGAGTTCATGGGAATCTGAGAAGATGGCATTGCTCATGATGAGAAATCTCTCCCGCTAAGTCAGATGACATCATTCACCAGGCTTTAGACCAAATCAGAGAAGTGGGGTCGCAGCTTAGTTTTCAGCAGGCATATGCTGCGTCTATGCCATGGGCCATGCACTGGGCTAGTACTGGGAATCCCGGACAGACCCAGACCCTATCCTGCTCAGGAGGGGCTAGAGCCTGGTGAGGGAGAAGTGGAGAAATCAGTTGACAATTATGTTTTAGCAAAAACAGAGAGGGATGAAGCCCAGGCCAGAGGCAAGCCACCCAGTGGGGGAGAGAGCAGAGGAAACCTGGGAAGGTTCACAGAAGGTGGGATCCTTGAGCCGAGCCTTAAAGGACCAGTGGGAATTTGGCAGGTGCAAAGGGTAGGGAATGGAGAGGAACAGTTCCCAACACAGTCTCTGTGAGGGGGTACAAAGGGACAGAGTACTGGAAGGTAGTCCTCCTGTGCATGTGTATCCCTTATTAGCTGAGATACCTGGGGCAAGTTTATCATCTGTGATTAGAGATTTTAAATGTAATAATCAGGGTAAGCACAGGGTTGATTTCAATTATTTGCTGAATAGGCATGATGGTGGAGGTCTTAGTGGAAAATACGGGACCAGTGTTGTCATTAGAATTTGAGAAAATAAAGAGGTCCATTTTAGAATACATTTAACAGAAAATACATAAAATTAAAAGAAGGCAACTGAAAAAGACAACAGAATGCGATACAATACTGTGCGGTGGGACACACAAGGTATATATGTTCAGTGATGGACTGCTGATTATATAAACAATGATATATGGTTCACCCCCAGACTCTAGGTATGGTGTGGAAAGGTACTCTCTTTCTAAGTGG